CCCGACAGATCAGCCGGCAGAGCAGCCGTTGCCCGAGTCAGCAGGTGCCCGAGCTAACCACACAGCCTTGCAGTGGCCGCATCGGGCCAGCACGGAGGTTCAGGGACAGGCCCAGCGCGCGGCCCTTTGCTGAGCGACAGAGGCAGGCAGCGAATCCCCAGGAACCGGGCTGAGCGCTAGCCAGCCCCTTTCGCACGGGCCGGCAGGAGATGAGCTGGCACCCGAGGCAGGAAAGGCTCGTTAGCCTGTCTCCTGAGCCCGTCACGCCATCGCCTTCCTACCTAACCCCCCTTTGCTGGGTTCCCCCTGAGCACCAGTGAAACTCTGCCAGGGGGCGAGGCCTCCTCCACAACCCAGGCCCCCCTGCAGTGAGCGTAGGTGCCCCATATCTTACGTGCCCGGGCGCTGCTGTTAAATGGTACAGGGGCCATCTCGCTGGGAAAAGGCCACGCTGCTCACTCACAAAGCTCTTGTTATTGGGCTTCCCTAGTTTGCTAGGTGGGAGGCAGTGTGGCCTAGTGGATAAAGCACCAGATTGGGATTCAGGAGACCTGGGATCCTATTCACAGGTCTGGCCCTGGCACCTCTCTGGGCCTTGATTTCCCTATCTGTTATATGGGCACAAGGATCCTGACACCTCCCTTGTCAAGCACTAGGGATTCTTCTAGCCACGGTCTCATCTTGAGCCTCGCCCAGCCCCTCTGTGCTGTGACGCTCAGTCGCCCCGGGGCGGGGGATGGAAGAAATGAAGGGACATGCTCAAGGTGACCCAGGAGCCCAGATCTCCACCGGAGCAGCCCCCGAGGAAGCGGCCGCCCCTCATCTCCCCACCCAGACTGGCTGCTGTGCTGGAAGAGGCAGCGTAGCCAGGCTCAAGTCAGTGGGCTCAGCACAGGGGCGATGAAATGGAACCTAACGGCCCCTGACACGCAGGCGGTCGGACCGAAGGGTCCTTCCAGGCCCAGCCCTCTAGGAAGCGATGCCCCAGCTGAGACCCAGGTCGGGGCCGTCGCGTGGCTCCGGACGTTTAGCTGCAGGTGCTGGCACGAGTGAGTGGCCACGCTCCAGCCACGGCCTCGCCACGGCCCCTCCCTGCCTTCTGCTCCGAGCAACGAGCCATCGGCCACGCCTGGGGCCTGCTGGCCCATGGCGACATTGCAGTGGGCAAGCGAGTGAGGGGCTGCAAACCCTCCCCGCCCCTATGCCACGGAGCCACGGGCCCCCGACTCACCTCGTCCTCCGCCTGGGCCAGCTCCTTCTTCAGCTCCTCCACCCGCAGACGCAGCTTCTTCCCCTCCCCCTCGTGCTGCTCCACCCGGCGGTTGGCGTGCGCCAGCTCGGCCGTCTTCTCCTGGTGCTGCTTCTTCAGCTTGCTGTGGATGTGCTTCAGGTCGGCCAGCTCCTGGCGGGGCAGGGGGGGGAGGGGGCGGGCAGTGCCAGGGGGCAGGTCGCTTGGGATGGGCAGGGCAGCCCCGGTATTAATACTCTGCCCTCCTCTAGCCAAGGCTCACAGACCCCCAGGGCTGGGAGAGACTCGAGAGTGACCGAGTCCAGCCGCCTGCCCAAGGCAGGACCAACCCAGCTCCACCAGCCCAGCCAGGGCTGTGTCCAGCCGGGACTTAAACACCTCTAGGGATGGAGACTGCACCCCACCCCAGGGACCCCGTCCCTGCGCTTCCCACCCGCCTAGGGAAATCGCTTTTCCTCATAGCCTGACTCCCAGCCCCTCTCCAAGCCATGCCCCCTCCTCCAGACTTCCTCAGTGGGGGGCTGTCAGTTCCCGGGGGTCACACGCACTAGGGACGGGGCGGCCACAGTTCCCTACGCTGAAGCTGGGACACCTGGTCCAGTCTGTGGTACTGAAGCAAGTTCAGCAGCAGGCAACGAGAACACGGCACCGCACATCACAGCACCCCCGAGCGGTGGAAAGCAAGACTGCGCAGCGGCCTTCTCCGGCCCCGCCCTCCCGTCGCTAAGGCTCTAGGGGTGACCCCCACTCCCCATGCCCCCACTCCCAGGGAGGGTGACCCCCATGCCCCCACTCCCAGGGAGGGTGACCCCCATGCCCCCACTCCTGGGGAGGGTGACCCCCCATGCCCCCACTCCCAGGGAGGGTGACCCCCATGCCCCCACTCATGGGGAGGGTGACACCCCAGGCCCTCACTCCCAGGGAGGGCGACGCCCCATCCCTC